AGGGGTGAAGAACACGGGCCTGGCCCCAATCCCCAGCCTGATGTGCCCTCCCCCCTTCCCTCCCCCCTGCCCTGTCTTTCTTCCAGCCTCTGAACAGCGCCCGAGATCTCCAAACACCACCGATGTCCAAGGCGCCCTTTGGAAGGGCGGCCCCGAGCAGACGGCCCCAAAACGAGGGCCCCCCGAGAAGGACACTCCGGGGTCCGGCAAGCAGGGCTTTTTCCATGCGAGAAACGGCTCGGCAGAGGAGGAGAAGGAGGAGGAGGCCTGGCTGCCTGGGGGCCCCGTGGCAGCAGCCGCTGCAGGAGGAGCGAAGGAATCCCGGCTCATGCCACCTGCCGTTCTCCCTGCAGGCGAAGGCAGAGGAGGAGGAGGAGGAAGAAGGACGGATCCAGCTGCGGCGGCCGGCATTCCCTTAGGGGCCGGCCCCAGCACACCCATCTCAGTGAGGTACCTTTCCAGAGAGGCGGAGGAGGAGGAAGAGGAGAAGAAGGCGCCAGCCCTTTGCCTTGGCTGTTCAGGGGGAGAGATGATGGCCTGGCAGGCGACACAGGGCGGCCGGAGGGAAGGGCGAAGGGCCCCCCTGGAAGCCTTGGCCGAGGTCACCAGCTTTGCTCAGCCGCTCCCGGATGGGGCCCGGAAGCTGTTGGAGGCGAAGGAGCCCCCGGGCAGCCTGGCAACCGTCCCAGAAAGCCAAGAGGAGGTGGGAAGCGGAGACCCTCAGGCCGGGGCCCCCCCAGGCGAGGACGGCGGCTTGACCGGAGGGACCACCGGGGTCCCGCCTCCCCTTCCAGTGGCCCCGGAGGCCAGCTCGCCTCCCGGCCTCGGCCACGATGCTGTGGCGACAGACCTTCTCCTCCACCCCTTGCGGGGTGAAGGGCAGGCGTCTCCCACGGAGGGGACCGGCCCTCCCCAGCGGCCCAGGGAGCCCCCAGACCAGGACTCCGCTCAGAAAGAGGAGCCGCTGGAGATCTGGGTGGACGCCTCCAGCCGCTCGCCGGCC